TATATACACAATGTCGCGCTCCTTCAGAGAAAGTCTGTTTTAGTTTGTTCACACGATTAATAACCGCAACATCTCGATTATTATTCAACTAAATATACAAACGAGACAACGCTTTTTTGATTTGTTAAGTACGTTGATACATTTAACACAGATTAGGAACATGTAGTACGTTCTTTACTACAAATACCTATAAAAAGTACAAATCAATAGCGTACTAGCTGTGGAATCTCAAAATTTGACGAGTTCATGGTATACGCGAGAGAAATATATATCCATAATTGTAAGCAAATAGACGTTTAGAACAATTCTTTACGGTGCGTAAAGCTACTGCGGAAGGCCTATATATATTTCGCAGATAAGATCTAGCCTTATTGAATAAATAATTTATTCAACTATTGATTTCATAGACGTCTTCAATCGCTTTCGTTCGATTCAATTTTATGATGTAGTGAAATAATGTCGTTCGGCAATGCCTGCAGTTCTTTTAAATACAGTTACATACCTACAGGATTAACAGGGCTTGTGCAGACATCACGCGGATGCTTGCCTTGCTCGTTACGTCACAGGACCGACGACTCACTGATACTAACCTGGTATATGGCGGCTGAGCTTGGATCGATCGATTCATATGGAATTAAATTGAGAAAGATCTTTATTTACACTATAAGCAGAGGTTGGTACCTTAAAAAGGCGTTTCTCAGTATATATATACAATAATTAGAAAAGGAGTACTGCTTCCATAGATCGCTCGCACATGCTGAGTTTAGATTAGCTATCAATCATTTCGCTCAACTTAGCTATATGCCGACATGCTGTTGGTACGGACTTCGCCTCATAATGTTATGAGGCTCGGTTGACGCTAGAGAAGTTTCTGCTACTATCCGGTATCAAATAAGGCGCTAGATTTTTTGAGAAGCCTCTAAACAGATTTTGTCTGATGGCGCGCATCGTTTGTTTTTTCTCTTCTTTACGATATTTCCGTCTGAATCCGCCAGAGGCCGCCACAGTATGCATGGTTTAACAGTGATGCAAGACAAGTCGTGCATAAATACGTCCAATGGATTCTAACGTGACACTTACAATAGACACTACTCGTGCGTGCGTGCGTGTGTTTAATAATGCATTATAATTTTATGCATATCATTGGTAGTGGAACGGGATCTAACGTTGAACGTGGCTTGTAGGGGGCGGTATAAAATATTCTGGTTAATCGATCCTTAATTAAAAATATTATCGTGCATGAATAATTTTTCAATCAGGGCATTTTCAGAAGCAAATAACATTTTATACGACTTTTTTTGTCATATAAACCTATGAAGATAATCATACGGAATTATCTATGCATAATTCTATTAGTAACTAACATTAGAGCTATACGGCTATATTTGTATTGTTTTTAGATCTGCTTTGCAGACACCTGGGCGGTAATACGTTGCTATTAGTATCTGTATTTCGATTTTTCCGCACGGGTGGCATTTTTTTTTATCAAGTAGACACAAAAGAAGGATTTTATTTGCCTTTATTTTAAAGAAAAACTACAAGTTTGTTATTTCGTTGCTCTACAGCAACTGCGCAGCATCGGTCACGATCGAACGACTGAAAAATGTAAAAGATGTTAAAAAAATGTACAAAATTTATTTTTAAAAAAACAAACTTTATCAAACATAGAACATATTGTGATGGAAGGAACGAACGTCACAGTTGAATAATTAACCGGTTACTTAATATTAGAGAGACTTGATACTAATACTTGCAACAACATTGATTATATCGCCAGTTTATTTAGTTGATCTCTAATCATATTATAGTGCACATTAAATTTACATCAATTTCGTTGCTTCTGAAACAGGAATCCGTTGTTGGAGCCGACAGTCTCCGATTTGAATTTATCTTTGAGACTAATCAAATTGTTCCATAGAATTTTCACAGCAATATCCCAGCGTTGAGCTCGTAAAAACTCTATAATAATAATACGTTATAAAAATCTCTTTCTTATAATAAACTCGCGTGTTTGCGTGTTGTGTTTTGCGTCGATAACCCGATTCGCAACGAATTCTTGCCTGACACGGCGATGCTGTGACCCCGAAAAAACAATACGTTATCACAATATTTTTCATCTTTGAATACGCTATTCAAAGACGTCGGTGCGAGCGTCGGCTTTGTCAGGAAACCATTCAGAACTCGTCTTTGCTGCTAGGCAAGCGCCACTAAATATATTGAGGTAAGCAAGATATATAGATGAGCTGTTGACGAACGCGCGTCACGTTCGGCGAGCGGCCTGCGCTCGATGCAAACTGAAAGCGGCTTCTAACGCAAAACAAGAAACTCAAGAAGACGCTGTAAGCATAACGAGCGGCGACAAAACCCGTTGCAGTGGTACCCCGTCAGGGCCCCGCCTTTCCCATTTAAATCTATTGCACGCGATTTCCCACTTTCGTCCGCCTCATCAAACGCTAAATGTCGTAGTCAGCGATGAAATCCTTCTTTCCTATCCGTTTGTCATTTTGCGAAGTTCTATAAAGTCATGCGACGAAAAAAAGCAAAAAATCAACGCGTTGTCAACTTTTAGTATGGACTTTTTATGATCCAAAAAAGTAATAATAATAAATTTTTTTATTCACACAAGTTTTATAGCATGTACCATTGAGCGCCAAAATAGTATTAATGATTTATTGAGAGATGGGTGTTACCTATAGGTTGACGTGAAATATTCCTATTAGGCTGTTACAAACGAATCGAAATTGAATATGTTTTGAACCACGAGGCGCTAGTAGAAGACATTTAGCTAATAACACTCCAACCTGGTAAAAATTTGCTTACTTCAGGAAAAGCGGGTCCAGAAGAAAAAATCTTTTAATCTCGAATATCAATGCTCAGTGGTCAAAATTTTGTTCCCCGAAGGCCACAGTGCTATGAAAATTCGTCGAAGATCGGTGAAGACTTTAGGCAAGAAGGCTTGGAGCAAAAATATAGGCCGTCAATAGAGTGTTGAACACCAGCGAACAGATAACTAGATGTTGGGGTCCGAGGAATGAGAGCGGATTGCCGCAGTCAGAGAAACTTTCTATCAAAGCAGAGGTTGAAGTTTCTAAAGTTCTGGCACTTCACATGTAACGTATCATAGAATTACAACTCAAATACAGAAACCGAGCAGAAAATAAATCCCACGTTAATTAACTCCAACCCAGTTTCGCATGTGGCATGTGGTGTATTTTTTGGAACTTTGACTGAGGCGCACGGTTGCCATAGACGAGGCATTTTTTAATCTTTACAGCTAACCGCAGAGAATAACGTCGTTTCGAACAGAAATTGAGTTCGGTGGCAGTGCCAAGTAGGTTCGGGCGTAAGGTAATGGACATCGGAGGCGTCTGCTCCGATGAAATATTCACCAAAAATGAAAAATGAATGCAGCCCGCTATTTCAAGTTCCTCTTATAGACCGTTAGCACGGCGACCGAAATCACGCAGTCCGGTTACTTGATGACAACGCTAAACTTCACCACTCCGTCTCGATTATTTTCTAGATTGAGCAGAAAAGTATGCAACGTCGATTTCAACCTGCATGTTCTTCCAACCTAAGTCCGTATCATTACAACGCTTCCAATGTCCTAAAAAGTATCCAATCCCGTTATCAATTTACTTTGAGAAGCCATAGATACAAAAATTGTATGAGAACGCGGACAATAAGTATATAACTACTCAGTAGTTGTCAGAGCGATGGGAGAAGTGCGTAAATGCAAATGAGAGTACCTTTGACACATCTTAAAAAAATCATAATGATAGCCCAGCTAGTTCAGAAGCTATTGGAATTAAGTCTCCGCTGAATTCGTGTGCAACAGCCTAGTATATTTTGGAGATGTGGACGGTCTACTGCATCATCAACTCTATAATTTCGTTGAAATGTATACTCAGGCATGGGCCTCTGCAGAGGCCTTCTAATAGATAGCGGGTAAAGGGCTTCATTGTAAGGTGGATTTTGGACGATTGCCGACATATACATATATTGACTGATTTATAGATATCGTAAAAGGGTAAGTCCCCGACATATAACTTACATTCCGTTGCCCTTCATAAAAATAAAATACTAATCCTGAAGAGATAAAGGTTATCTTATTTACGGTGGCCTTATTCCTATGAGCTGTGTTGTTGTTACACGTTTAGACTAAGAACTTTACGGCTTTTACCAAAGAAACTGGACTATATTTATCAGATTCATAAAATAGTCATCTGAAGCAGTGTTTTAATAAGGCAGTACCGTATGTAAAGGTTGAAAGATCCACATTTCTTCATCTACAAAATTGACCAAATCAGCTATTTCTTAAATGTGGCTGAAATCAATCTGATTCGCGCATAACCACGCTACTAATTAGCCTCAATCAATAACGGAATCTTTACGTCTGCTACGACGCAGGCGCGGGCGAGCTGTTCCGTATTGTCGTCTGCTAAGCTGTTCCTGGCCCGTCACTCCAGCTGACTCTAATCAATCGCTGGTGACACTGGATACTGTCTTTTTTGACCGTTGTATTTTTGCGTAAAAATACACAGTTGCGCGGTCTGTTATGTCAGTCACTTTGTCCATCTAACTTTGGCCCCGTACTGGACACAGGCAACTATTCCGTGTATCCTATATAATAGCTTCGTCTTACGTTTCGACTTCATTGCTTCAACCTCTGTGAATTGTGGTAGTGATATCGTGTTGGTAGCGTGAACCTCACATAGAGTTTCTCGTAATTTCGTAGCAAAAGATTGGCATTGAAAATGAGTCGTCTTATAAACTCTGCGCTGTTCAGATGCGGCTCGAAATTGATTCAAAAAGCTATTAGAGATAACTGGAAAGTTACAACGACCGGCGGTTTATATACAACTGTAAGTTTATACACGTCAACCGAACTTAGAGATATCTAAAGGTGTTTAAGCACGAATTTGACCGGGCACTGAATTATGTGTAGTGAATTGTAGAATCGTTAGTACGAAGCGCTATAGGTATGACTTATGAGCTCCTGGAACAGAATACTATACTAAGCTAATACTAATATACTAAGCTACGCATGATGAATTGCATATCACGAACAGGAGAAGCTTATAGAAACAGACGAAACTGGGCGCGCAGTCTCAGCTGTCGTTGATGTGAAGTGACCATCAGCTGACAGTTGAATCAGCCCCGTTTAAATTGCGACGGATTAGCATTAGGTAAAATGAGTAAATATTTTGGATCATTTTTTGTGACTTTTGTTGTCCTTTCAAGACGATATAAGCGAATAAGAATATCTGGTAAAAGGTTACTGTAACTAAACAAATTTAACGGGCTATCAAGCATTTATCTGCTGTCTGAAAAATAGCAATGTCTTAATTTTACTAATGACATTTTTATGAAGAAAGCGTGTTCACTGAACAAATGCGTCCTGTGGGATTTACTGAGCTTACATAAATTCATTACCCCAGTTGCAGGCGTATTTAAATTGCATTAGATTTCGATGGTTTTTAGCCTCATTTTGTAGTTGTTTTCTACGTATCCAGTCGTGTCACATACGTTACACTCGTTAGAGACGGCGTCATTTAGGGGGTATCTTCTTGATATTGATATTGAGGAGTGAAAAACGTATTTTTATCAAGGTTAATAGGTACTTGTATGGTTACCGTTGGTTTGGTACCCATAGAAGGCAGGTCGTTGATGCTGTACTTCAAAACAGTGGACTTGTTTACATTACACATTACACACGAGATGAATAATTGGTGGCGGCAAGAAAAATGTTACGTTCAGCACGATAACTTAGATAAATAAAGGAGCCCAGTCAGCAATGTTAGCACATTCATGTTGATCTCTTAACAACGCTCATCCCCTATTGAGATGTCCTGGAAAAAGTATTTCTCTAATAGCAAAATGATTCGCGCAGCTAAAGCTATCGGCCGCCTAGTGAAAGTTATCTAAGCGGAAAGCCCAAGAGATTATAGTAACTGGTATGACGGACGAGTCGTGTGGCTGGCAAGCCACCAACGTGCACATTAGTGTGAATAATCAGATATGGTATCATGTAAATGAGCAGACGCTTTTCCCAATTACGCTACATTAGATAATTTGCAAGATGGCCGTTATTAATAGCGTCCTCGCAACCATTGGATCGCACACGGTCGCCTAATGTATTGTGTCATAGAATTTCCCTTCGATTCCCAAATGGGTAGGTACTATGGAATTCATGAACCATTAACGCCTCGTCCACCACCATGCCCCTATACCAGATCCTAGCTTCTAGTGTGACTGTAACTATTACCTTTCTCTATTTTTTTTTACGTCCCCATCTCTCGAAGAAGCGATTTAGTAATCGTTACATGGTCGGAGTCCGTTGCTCGAGATGCATTGTCATATTGTTGGGTTTATATGTGAATTATTTATTTTGTATTCGTACGCGTGTGCTTCGTAGTGCTATGAGAAACTTCGATTCATCTGTAATCGAAGCTATACATTACAGAGTCATATATTTGAAAAAGTATTGGCCGTCTTTAGGCCTAAAGTGCAGCAAATAATATTTACATTTGCACATAGTAACACACTAAATACACTCTATTTTTATTGGCGACTCGCCTAAAATCACCGAAATTGCTTAAATTTTTCCAGAGATCTGATCATCTGACCATTGAAAAATGTTTGTAATTTCTGACCTAAAGATTGTGACAAGTGATCATTGTGTCTTCCCATTGAAACAAATCGAACACCATTAAGGGAGTTTTGCAGAGAACAGAACATAGCTTGATAGTGAAAGATCTGGGCTATGGGGCGGGTGAATGAAAATTTTCCATCAAGGTTCGTCCATTTTAAGGGTATTTGAAGATGTATGTGGTCTGGCATTGTTATGAGTGAAAAGAACTTCTGTTCTGGTTACTAGTTCCGGTCGATTGACACCAGAGGTCCAAGTCAATTACTTTAGCAAGTGACAGCACCACATAATGCACAGTTTGTTTCCAATCCCAGCACACAAATAACATCACCTACATCACTGCCAGTCTGCAGACGTTTATATGATGTGATCCCACATCACGACTATCTACGTGTCTGACTTGCTCAGTTTTCACAGTAATTTCATTAATCGATCGACCGCTACGAGGATCATCTGTCACGTTGATATTTTCGGAAAAACAGCGACAGGACCGGCCTTTTCCGCCTATAACATACCTTAGACTAAACAGGACACGTTTTGTCACGAGCATTTGTACCTTCATTGTGATAATCAGATTGTTGGAGAAATTTCATTTGTCTTTGGGCCGCTTTATCCCAGGTCTGATTGGAGGCAGTTTCGGCGCACCTACTGCTGTTACGTTTCAGCTTTGACACGAACCTATTATGACACGTAAGACAACCGATTATATTTCGGGTCCGGCAATATATCGGATCGTTTTAGTCGCACCAACCAAGTCGGTATTAGGCTCCCAAGAGAAGTTGCGCGATTACTGCGACGAATAAAAAGCTGACAAAAATGGGCACCAGTTGTATGTTCCCATCAAAATGGGAACAGCTGTATACGGGAACACGAGGAAAAGTTCGCTTATGGACGCCATTCGGCAATCGTTTGTCCATGTGTACTACTTTGACCTAAAATCATCGTTGAAGACTGTCATTCACAGTCGACCGGCTGATTCTTCTATCGAGCTACGGAGCGCGAACTATTCCGACTCTGCTACTTCTGACCCCCTACAATGATATGAGTGCCAGTGATGTACGCCCTGTGCGCAGATCTACTTAAGCAGCTAGCTGTTTATATGAAACCTATGATGTATGCAGATGATGTAAAGTATGAGTTATGTTAATACGTGAATTTTGCATTTTTTGTAACGTGTGACAAAAAATTGTAGATTTTACACCGTAGCGATAAAACTGTAATAAAATGTTCAGTAGACAGGGGTGCGGTGGCACGTTTTCGAACACGACACCCCGAAATATAAGGATTATATTGACCAGCAACAATTGAGCTCCATAAATTGTACACACAATTTGGGGGGCACCAACATTGAGCGACGTCAGGTATTGCAATGATATGACCGATACGGTAACTCGTGCCTCTAGAAGATCAAACTGCAATTTGGGCTAATTTGTAATTAGCAAATCCGAAACAGGCCTGCATTTTTTTTACCGTTGCCGTAGTGCTATACATTTTGCCATACGCATTCCTAGTATAGAGCAGTAAACCTGTCATAGCCTAGCCTCATTTAGATATCTGCTCCAATTTCCAAGATGGCTGCAGGAGCAATCAATATACAATTCGAAGTATACTTCAGCCGAAGGCGATCTAGTGATGTTATTACGTTCCATGAGCGAACACATTGGCGTCTTTCCGTCTTATCAAATAAGGAGTGTTCACTAAATTCATTCTAATTGAGCTCATTTACCTGAAGCATAAGGAGACTGAGGTACCAATTTCATTGGCGCATTTCCTATTTTGTCAGTTATATGGTGGAGCATTATTTAAGAACCTTTCTAGAACTAACGCGTTTGAGATCACAACAGCTTTGCTGGAACGGCTTCCTATTTTAGGGGATAGTTGATCCTAAAATTCTAGAGAGCTGCGCAAACTGAAATTGTCACTCCAGGGAACCGAGTTCAGGCCGGTCAATTGCAAAAAAAAGAAATGATAGATATTTCCGAATCTAGATCTTTATAGAATTCAATCAAGACGTAAAGAAAGTGTATTTATTCGTTTGTTCTTTTTTCCACACATATATGAATCGTGTGTTATTGATCGGGCGGAAAAAGCTGTACTGACAAAGGCAATATAAAATCAACTTCCTTATATGTTAGGGTTTTTAAGCTTCGAGCAAAAATCTGCTTTATAATTTGTTGTATTTTAAGGCGCCGACGCCATTCGTATAGTTTACGATGCGTTTCCCAATTCAACTTCTCAGCCCCCAAAACTATCTCCGAAACTACCTATGATCATTAACTAAGCGAGCTATTGAGTCAACGAGGCTGTTAACGGTAGCCGTGACTCCCGGAAGGGGACGTTGCATGCCTCAATCCATTAGAGCGTCTTCGGGCTTTCATTCTCTTAGCTGTTACCCCTGTTCGACTTCATCAAGGGACTACGACCGCACTTCAATGTTTCGCGCACTTCAACCGTGCGTTTCGCATGGATACTGATCATCTCGGTTTGAAACTACACACTACACATGTACCATCACATGTGTTGCTGTCGCAGAAGTCCGTGTCTGCCGATCTCTTCGCGAATGCATTTATTCGCGGCTTGGAGACGACATCGAAGCCGGTCATTTTCTAACGATCGCATCAGCCGACGCCCTGTACTCTGAGTGCTGATCACGAGAAGTTGTTAACAATTTGACTACCGTTAACGGCCGACAAGTTGTTGATATTTCGATAGTGAAAGCTAGAGATGTTGCTAGTTAAACCAGCAAATTTCGTCAACAAAGCATAACCACTGTGAACCGTGAGCGTCTGGCTACCGGAAAGATTGCAGAGCGCCATTATGAAGTGGAGCTTTCAGCGTCCCGAGGACACCCGGTACCCGTTGGTCGTTGATGGATGCGCGCGCGCAGACCGATGATACACGATTAACGAGACGAGCAAATGTCGAATTGCATGGGCTAAGGGATGACGGCGACGTGAGATTAATAGTTAAAGATAAATGAAAGGTTTAGGCTGCGCCAAAAAGCGTGAGGTTTACAGGTATTGTTTTCTGCACGAAAAGAGTAATTTTATTTTAATAATCGATATTTACTTCGCGTCCCTCTTCATACACATACAATTCCTAGACCTTCGCTACGGACTAAGAAGAAGTGCCTCGAATATTATGTTATAATACGAGAAAGCTAGTATTCATGTTGTTGTTGATGTTTGCTTTTGTGAGTTCTCGATATAATTG